ATAGCCCATAGTTAGTGGTTTTATTCTTCTTTAAAAAGTGATAAAAAGTGATTAGCTCCGTGAGGAATCTTTTCCGTGTTCTAATGGGAAGTCGTGTCCAGTGAAGTTCAACCTGTTCGGGTGTAGACATTAACTACCGAAGACTGTGTATATGAGGCTGCGCAAATCCGTGAATTGATCAAGTTAGATATAAACACCGTCAGATGCCGGCTCAGTGGTCCTGAGGTTAGGCGTTCGCGCACAATACCGAAGGTCCCGGGTTCGAATCCTGCAAGGTGCAGGAGTCGTGGATGAGTACCGCTGGTGGGTCCCGTACCAGGAAAAAACGGCCGTCCAGTGCTTCCTGGTTTCTAATAATGGTCTAACATTGATCGATTTAGGGGTTTGAAAAGGTGACATTTAAAAGGCGTAATTTATAAAAAGAGAAAGTTAGGTGAACTTTTGTGGTGGTGCTTCGTTCTCTGAGCTAGATGTTTTGGTTGTGTAGCTTTTATTGTTTTTCTTCTGAACAACATCAATCAGCAACATCGACACTGACTTAGTTTATCAAACAATCAGAAAAGTCATAGGCGACATATGATCACGAAACAAAATCAAAATGGGGATACAATCAAAACAAAGGTGCAAACAACGATAGACTTAAGGTCAATAACAATTCAAACAAGACCAAGGTTTAAAGGACAACCTACGGATCAAATGTAGAGGAGTTCGACTACTTCACTTCGATCTGAAGTTTGTGTTGCTGATTGATGTTTTTCAGCAGAGAGATCAATGAAAGCTCGCATAACCGAAACAACATCCAGCTCAGAGGACGAAACACCAACCTACAATCATCCACCTGAGCTAACAAATTTTCTCAATGCATGAGAGGTGAATCTGATATTGTCTAGGCATTTTGTAAACTAGGTTCTGGCGTTTAGTGAAGATTCAATTTTTTTCCGGCTTTCTTAGAGTGACATGTTTGGAGTTGTTAGTACGGATCATCTGGACTTCCGATTTCCCGTTTGTTGAACAACAAAGCGCTACGAAACTCATGCTTTAAGACTTTACGATAACATGTATTATGTTAAGTGACAACAACTACAAAGCCAAAATTTGAAGCGTTCAGTCAATCGATCCAGTATTAAGTGAAGTATCTACACAGCAAGCAAATATTTTCTTTGGGAAAATTTATTGATAGAAAACCTGTTGAACCATTAGTTCGTTCGTTTGGCATGTATTCTACAAGCTTTATTTGTGCCGCCTACACAGAAATTAGCTGACAGTTTTTTTTCTCACAAGAATGTAGACAGAATGCTGTTCATGGTTTATTGATTACAATCTAAATGTAACAGGATTCTCTAATGTATGGTAAAATGTGCTTTTTAAATTAATTTTCATTGGTAGATATTATTTGGTTATTCTTGGTAGGGGCGTAATGTTTATGACAATTAAGTATTCATGCTATACTATATTTGGATAGGTTTAAAAATTTACAATATTGAAAATGATGTTTATAGGCGAGAATTATTATTATCACTAGTGTCGATATTCTACTGTATGGAGCGGAAACTTGGAGAACTACGAAAGTCACCATCCACAAGATACAAGTGTTTATGAACAGTCGTTTACGCAAAATACTTCGGATTCGTTGGGCAGACATCATCAGCACAGCCTACTGTAGGAGAGAACAAATGGAGGAGGAAATCAGGAAGAAGCGGGGGAAAGTGGATAGGACATACAGTGCGGAAAGCACCCAACTGCGTCACAAGACAACCCTCACTTGGGAACCGCGTCGAGGTAAAAGGAAAGAGAGGAAGGCCAAAGAACACATTATGCCGAGAAATAGAGAAAGATATGAGAAGAATGAACAAAAACTGAACAGCACCGGAAAGGGGAGACTTAGGACAGAGTAGGGTGGAGAATACTGGTCGGTGGCCTATGCGCTCCATTGGGGGTAACAGGTGTAAGTAATTAAGTAAGTAATTGTCGACACTCATAGTTTATTTCCTGAGAGAAAGCAATCTTAACGCTAAAGAGAAATCTGTAGTTTCATTTTAAAGATTTGGATTTATGTTTGTTGTTGAGTCTTAGCTAACAATGTTAGAAAAGGTCGACCCTAAAAATGTCACACCTCACCCTAAACCCTCGCGGATTTCCTTCTCCGGCGGTAAGGGTGCCCACTGAGGGCTTTCAAGAGCGGAGCTAATACTCAAAAAACCTTTAATAAAATGGCCGCGCGTGACAGCCTCAAGCAGTTGTTCCCTGGGCTCTGAAGTCACGGCAACCAGGTTTCTAAGACCAACGCCTAATCTCTGAACCTAGCAGGATGACTCATAAACTTTGGTAAACAAGCATCCCCTTTTCTGTAAAAACAAACCCGCGTTATTAATTTTAAAAATAAAGAGTGCCGTGGCTTACCACTTCGTGTTCTCCGTTGGTGTGAAGTGCTCAGCTAACCTTGGGTGTATGTGTGGTGATTTTAGATCTTATCTGCCCTTTCAGTGACTGCTCTGATTACACGTGATCATTTAAGGGGTCAGAGAATAATTACATATCTGTTAGAATTCTATAGAAAGAGAAAAACTAGATCAATAAAGGAAATCTATTTTCTGTTCTTTTTAATCAGGATCCGAGTCATTTATTAACTTGGACACTCTTCAATAATTTTCAGGCAGAGCTATGGAGGTTTGTGATTTACACATGTGAAATCATCAATCAATACATTGTTAGGACTACCATTAGAAACATGGAAGCACTGGACAGCCGTTTCTGCCTGGTAGGTGGACTCATTAGCAGTGCGCATCCACGACTCTGCAACCTAGCAGGATTCGAGCCCGGGACGCTTCGGTATTGTGTGCGAACGCCTAACCATCGACCCACTCTTCAGTATATCAAAAGTCTTCGATATAATAAAGCAAAACATTTACTAGTTCCGAACAATTTTGTAAACTGATTACCCTGCTTCCATTCTATTTCATCTTTTTCCAATTGCATGGAATTGTGACTATTTTTACAACATTTAACTGGGTAAAATTATTTTAGAAACCTTAACAGGTTTAAGCTATCGTGAATTTTTCACTGAGTAATAAGTTAAGTTACACAAAACAGTACTTCATTTGTAATAACCGTACACTAAAGAACAAGAATCGAGTGCAAAGAAATCAATCGGTTTAAATTAGCTTGTGAAAAAAGATATTGGATATTGGAAATACTTACTTGAATAGGCGCATCTCCAGCTTGTGAAGCATCAACAGTAAATTGAGCTTGGTTGTTGTGCTCGAGCACCTCTAGGTTTCTAAAACCTGGACCGTAACAACGTACACGAGTTGGATCAACCACCATCTCGTATTGGAACTTGAAATGGACTACCTATTTGGAAAGTAAAATAAATGATACATTTTTAAAATCAAGATGCTTAAAACGGATAGAAAAAAAAGATAATTGGTCTGATTATTTTTATTTCCTGTTTTAGCTACTTGTGTAACACATATTAGCCTCTAAATAGTAAAGCTTGGTTAAATAATATACTAACAAAGACAAATGTGTGAGGTCGCGCAAAATCCCTAGATCAATCAGAGTTAGACATTAACACCGTTGGATACCGGCCCAGTGGTCCAATGGTTAGGTGTTCACGCACAATACCGAAGGTCCGGGGTTCGAATCCTGCGAGGAGCAGGAGTCTTGGATGCGCACTGCTGAGGAGTCCCATACCAGGACGAAACGGCCGTCTTCCAGTGCTTCCAGGTTTATAATGGTGGTCTAACAATGATTGATTGATGATTTCAAATGTGTAAAAACACAAACCTCCGGAACTCTGCCCTAAATAATATACACAAAAACCTTGAATGATATGAACTCTTATTTTATTATCAACATCTTCTATAAATACTCTCTAATAGTTGGCTAGTTTATACGAGAATGACTATCGATACGAATAATTGAATTAAAATGAGAACACAGAGAAAAAAAGACATCTGGTGAGGATCAACTTTATTGATAAGCTCCTTTGAGAAGAAAATATAAATCTCGAAGTTATTAGTAATTTTGTCAACCATTCAAAGGCTAATAGTTTTCCATTACACATTTCCTAGCCAGTCAGTCAGTCAGTTACAACGTAGAGCTTCGTATGTACGTACATAAGTTCAGGTTGCCATACCACATTAGCACAAAGACGCAATTGTCAATTCTTATCTCATAGTAGTAGAGGTAGTAGAAGTATTAGCAGTAATCCGAGGGATTAGGGTTTGAAGAAATGATTCAAAAAGTTCACTTGTCAGTGACTTCATCAATTTATGCCATGTTTGTTTGGACGCGCCTAGCTTTCATCCAACCTACTCCTACCCTACGAAACATAGCTCGTCGACGCAGTTGGTGGTTGGGCATACGTAACACATGCCTCAACCAATTTTGCGATCCCTGCCTGGTACTTGTTTCCTAACGACATCTCTTTGTTGGGATATTCATTCAATATCCTTAGAGAATTATTGATCGATTCCTACTGGTCAATTTTATGGTCGTCCTAGATATCAATGTCACGTGCTTCAATGCTGTTTCTTATAGGTCGTTCTGACCATCAGTGTCACTTCAAACGTTTTTTTCCTATTGTTCGCCTTAACCGGCAATGTCACAGACTTCGATGATGTTTCCTATTCGACCCAAATGTATATATACGCATTATCTCTAACGGTTTACGACCCGGACTCGGATCCCTATTCCGGGATCCTGATTCTATTCTGGACTCGGACCTCGTACTTTCTGGATGCGTGTAGAATACAGGTTCTACTGCATATCAAGTCTTCTTCTTTTATTCAATGGGGGTTGAGACAATCGGATTAGAGTAGCATGTCATGAGGCCGGATCCTCGATCCTCGCTCTGACTAAGGTAAACTCGTAATAGTTCAAGCATATCAAAATGACATGTTTACGTCCATGCGTAACACTCTGGAACCAATCGTTAAGTGGTTTGTTGTAACTTTTAAATATGTCATTTGTTTGTGATCATCTAATGAAGTTCCCATTCAATAGAATTCTATAAGTGATCAACGATTAATTTGTGTGTAAAACTTATGACAACTAGTATATCTGTACAGGTTGAGTTTCAGTTTGAGTAAAATGTAATTATATCAATGGCTATACTCCAATGGATTGCAATTTGAATAAAGCCTACAGAAAAAAGCCTAGGGATAAGCGTAGTGATCACAAAAACCAAGAAAGGTCTTCTTATGTTTTGAATACAACTGGAGGATTTTATTATTGATGCCAAGATTCCATTTATAGATGTTATTATTTTGAAATGAGAGTGAAGCTAATGTATTATAGGATAGATACAAGGGATTGTATATTAGTTCTTCTGACGCATTAGGGTTTGCTGTTAGTCGGAGCTTAATATATAAACAGTAATCTATGATGTATCATTATCTAGAGTCTTCCACTTGTCATTTGATTGTGTACTTAGACAAAACATATTACGATCAGCTGTTGATGGGATTGGAAGATAATTAACGTTAGTGAATTGGCTGCGCATGTAGATGCAACCACATGTTAAACATAGCCAGACCTGAGATCAGCTAATATTTTTTGGGCATTGACTGTACTTAAAAGGTATCATCGGTAAGCGAAACAAACTTAATTCCGACCATGCGAAACGTGAAACACACATAAACATTGATTTTAATTCAAATTAAAATCACATTTATAAGTAGTCATGTCATAACAATTCAACTTGCCTGGAATATTCCTGTCATTAAATTTAACAAAAATGTCATATGTTCCTGCCCGTGTTGGTAAGTAGTCCACTGTACATGTTCCATCCTTATTATCTTGACATTGTATTTGAGCGTCAGCAGGACCTTCTAAAGCTAATCCAAGAGCACCTTGACCTGCACCATCTAAGTCAACTGTGAATCTTTGCATTTCATGAGTAAGTCCACCTTCTAAACCTGGACCGTAAGCTCTCACTCTTGTTGGATCACATCCAGGAGCAACATTAACTGGGAATGGACTACCAGGTACCGGAGCTCCATCATAAGTAACTTCAACGTGATGTAAGCCTGTAAAAAGTTAAGATAAAAAGAAAATGACTGTTCGAATTTTGCTTGGTTTTAAGACGTTTTGGCATACATGAGTCTTGGTTTTTCCTTAATGATTAAGAAAATTCCCTGTCAAATATTTTTGTGAACATTGGAAAATTCAAAACAGTGGTTCCCTTTGATAAATTTGAACAGAGAAATGAGAAGACATATTTGGTGAGATAGTACCATTTCGTGCTTTCTCGTCAGTCACATACAGGCAACATGTTATTCGTGTAAATACAGTTTTGAAGATAAGGTCAAAATTTCTTATTTAGCATGACATTCAATCACTAGAAGAACCATGGTAAACTAAGGTAAACATACAGTTGTTTTTGAACACATAAAGTTGGACTTTTCCGACCAATCAAGATAGCTTTGAGTAGTTTCAGTGTGTGTGGTACATTGGATTTCAAGCTTATTACTGAGACACTGAAATTAAACGGATATCCCGAAACGTTTATTGGTCATCAGAACGCAACTACGACGAAACTGATAGCACCTGATGTGGCCAAGAAACCAGTGTACCTACAGTTACCTTTCAAGGGTGATCATTGCATGAAAATTACAACCAAACAGACTGCAGCTGCAATAAAAAAGACCTTCAATGCAGCTAATCTGAGGCTTATCACAACAACTCAATCGATCTCAGTTACCCCAATCAAGTCTAAAAGACCGATTCAGTCCAAATCCCACTGTATTTACCAATTCACATGTAACTGTGGAGACAGTTACTTAGGTAGGACAGATCGCCGATTGGAGGACAGGATAGGGGAACATATTCAAAGATGGTTAATCAAATCCATGATTCATCTACCTAGCACGTCATCTCGAGATCAATCAAGAAACCCAGCCTCATCCATTGCAAAACATCTAATGATGAGTGGTCATCAAATTGACCCAGCCTTTATAGAGTTGTGACATGTCATCAAAACCCACACACACACTCAAACTACTCGAAGCTATCTTGATTGGTCGGAAAAGTCCAACTTTATGTGTTCAAAAACAACTGTATGTTGACCTTTGTTTTTACCATGGTTCTAGTGAGTGAGTGAATGTCATGCTAAATAAGAAATTTTGACCGTATCTTCAAAACTGTATTTACACAAATAACATGTTGCTTGTATGTGACCGACGAGAAAGCACGAAATGGTACTACTATCTCACACAAAATATGTCTTCTCATTTCTCTGATCAAACATTGGAAAATTCAGTAAGCATCAGGTCAAAATATTTATTCATTCTTTTTAAGCCTTAACTTTCGCCAGTGATATTTCAACCAAAACCAAGATTTTCTGATATTTTGAAGGCTTGTAGAGAATAGGTTGGAGTCCATATTATTTACTAGGAGATAATCATCCACGACGCCCACACGTGTGGATTGAACGTAGAACATTCGATCTCATGCGCGAACGATCAACCTCTAGACCAATGACTCAGCATCCAGTTGCGTTATTGCCTAAATGACAGCCATCCACTACTTCCAGGTTTCCAATCGTGATCCAACACATTAATCGATTCAATCGATTTCAATAAAATTACACACATATTTTGAATTTATCAAAATTTACTTACCATCATCTATTGGTGAATAACTACATTTATAAGTTCCATCACCATTGTTTTGTATTAAACATGCTGTTCTTTGTTTTATTCGGACTAACAACAATCGCTTTGACTATACCTCTACCTTGTGGATCAACTGTTTTAGCATCAACTGTGAATTTAGCAAATGATTCTTTGAAAACACCTTTAAAATCAAAATATTCATAAAAATTAGTTAAAATAACAATTTACGAAAACAAATTGTTAAGCAAGCATGATTTATAATTTCAAATATACATGCTGTTTAGGTTTCATTTAATTGCCTTAGAGTCATGCAACATCAACATTAAATCTATGGATACAAAAGCTTAATTAAAGAGAAATTTACTGGATCAAATCATGCGAACAAATTAAATTATTGTTTCAATCAATTAAATTTTCAATTTTAAAGAAATTTTTTATATCATGCAAATTAGTAAGTAGTATATGCGTAGGCATTCCTATTGATTTTTATCCTACCAGTAGGTTGTAATCCAGGACCGTAGGCATGAACTCGAGATATATCAATGTGTTCTCTACCGAGTGGAGCTACTCTAACAGGGAATGGACTTCCTTTAATATGTGTATCTTTATATAAAACATTGACAACATATGGTCCAGGTTCAGTTGGTAAATAATCTACACCACATGTTCCATCTCCGTTGTCATTGTAATTGATTTTAGCTTCAGCAGGTCCTTCAATTGTTACACTCAGTGGAGCAGGTGGAGCATCTTGACTGTCAATGGTAAATTTCGCTTGTTTCCCGGCTGTTGCACGATAAAGTCCATCACCATATGCACGAACTAAACCGGCTGCTTCAGGTCCAGACATTGGTGCTGAACTAGCTTGTTGACGTGCAAAATCTTTTGGATAAATAGGTTCTTGTAATGTAGCCGGTGGAATAGCATTTGTACGAAATGGACTACCTTTAACTGGTACACCTCCAACTTCTACAGCAACAGTATGTGGTCCAACAACAGTTGGTGTAAATGAAGGTGTATATCCATCAACACTTTCAGCTAAAGTACATGGTACACGCATACCGTTTGGAGATTTCACTGTTACAGTTGGTTTTGGTTTACTATTATTTGGTGGACCAGCACCGGCAGTTATGACATCAAACTCAGTCGGCACACCAGTAGTGATATCTGATTTATGGGAAAAATATATATTACTGTTTAGACATCTCGTGAACTATCAACAGTCATTAAACCGAATAACCTGACTATGTAAATGTATATTTCAGTCAGTAATCAGATTACATGTAACGATAATGTTGATTTACTAATGTTATAACCATAAAATAAGATCTATGTGATATTATTTGAGGAAACTCTCAGAGATTGTTGGATTTCTCAGACAACATCGTTGACTGATTTTGGTTAAGTAATTCTTGTGAACCAGTTATTCATTGAACAGGATTTTAGGCTTACTATGAAGCCACTCAGTTGGACGCACACACACCGGCGATCGAACGCAAGGCCTTGGATTATGCACTCAATTTCTAGACCACTGAGTCAGCATCTAATGGTGTACATATGTCTAACTAAAATCGATGTCCCATTAATGAGCAAGCATCTTACTTATGCGATGAATAACTATGGATAACTATGAAAATTATAGGATGGCCTAAAAACTTCAGGGAGGGCATTTTGAGCTTACATTCTTTAAAGCCTAAAAAGTCATTTGACCTTGCAGATTTTTCTATCTTCATATGAATGAATCATTGTTAGACTACCATTAGAAATTTGGAAGCACTGGACGACCGTTTCGTCCTGGTATAGCAGGGCGCATCCAAGACTTCTGTTTCCTGTAGGATTCGAGGACCTACGGTCTTGCGCGCGAAAGCTTAACTTACAGACCAATGAGCAGGCGTCCAACGGAGAGAAAGTCTAACTGTGATCAATCTAAGGATGTTGGTCTAACCATGATTCATTCATGATTTCGACGAAAAACAACAATCACCATAGCACTAGTACGTAAAACCAAAGATTTTTCTCTCTGATACACTAACAAATCTAGTTTCTCTAAATTTTACTATATTGTTGTAAATTCAATGTGCTACGGAAATTTATTTAAAAAATGCTGGGAATCATTGTAGTAGTGAGCCCTAAAGTAGTGAGTCCTACCTCAAATTCAACACAGCCACAGAGACTTAAATAAAAACTAAAGAAAAGTCTGAAAAGGCTGATGTCATTTACATCATAGATGGTATTTATCAAGATACTTACAAGTCAGTCAGTCAGTCAGTCAGATGCAACGTAAAACTTCGTACGTAAGCACATCAGTTCATGTTGCTATACTATCAGCACAGAGGTATAACTGTCAATTCAAATCCAATAGTAGAAGAGGTAGTAAAGGTATTAGAAGTAATCGGAGAGGTTAGGATTAGAAGATATTATTCAAGAAGTATGATTTAATGAGAAAAGTTTAGAAAGTCAAAACTAGAGGTGTTGAAGAATCCAGAAGATTAGGATTTGAGAGAACACAAAGAGTGGATGCACTGGCGCCATTGCAAACTGTTTTGAGCCATGTTAATCAGGGTCTTCAAACATCGATTATTATCATCTCGCGGACCCCAACCAGGTAGTCGACAACTACCGACATGGCTAAGTCCACTCGTCAACGATTTCATAGATTTCTGCCATGTTTTGGTTTGGCCACCCCTAGCTTCCTTCATACCTATTCCTACACTACAAAACAAAGCTCGTCGAAGTAGTCGGTGGTTAGGCATACGCAGCACATGTGACAACCACCTCAACTGATGAAGTTTCATTACTTCATATATTGATCTGCCATTCTTACCTAGCACCCGTGTCCTAATAACAGCGTTGCTCACTCGAGTGTCCCACGATATACGAGCAATGCTTCGGTTACACATATGATCGAAAACCAGTAACCTACGAATATCTTCTACTCTGACTGGCCATGTTTCACAGCCATAAAGTAAGACGAAGCGAACTGCTGCACAGTACACTCGTCCTTTATTCAGCAAACAAATATCTTACCTACGCCATAAGTGACGCAGGTTGGCAAAAGTCAATCGAGCCTTCTGTATCCGAGCTGAGGTTTCGTCAGTCACCAGGCCATCGGCACTGATGAGACTCCCCAGATAGGTGAAGCGGTCTACACGCTCGACTACTTCACTCCTTATCATTAGTTCAGGTGCCGATGCAACCAGATGCTTACAAATAGAAACTGGTATATTCTGTCGTACGTACGAATCTATATAAAACCATTTAACATATCCAAATAAAATGAAAATAAAATGTTTTTTTTAAAAAAAAAATGAAGATTACTTGGTTCCAGATTTTCAACATGAATTTTTGACATATCTATATTTGGTTTCACTGGTACTTTAAATGGACTACGTGGTACTTCTTGATTATTGAAAAATACTTGTACAGTATAATACGGGCCAGGTGTATTAGCTGTATAAGCAACTTTAAATGTTCCATCACGCATATCTTGTGTATCCATTGCTACATCACGTCCAGCTTCATCTGTTACACTAATGCCAACATTGCCTTCAGATAGAAAAAAAACAAACACAGTAAGAGTAGAAAGTCATTAGAAGTACATTAAAAGACGATAGTATTTCATGGTTTGATGAGACAATATAGAAGTTAAAGTAACTGAACGTTAACCAATGAGCTTTTGGGTTGAAATGTGATCACATCTACGCTTTGTTTTAGGCAGTTAATTATTATCACATATCTTTTTTAAATAAAAGTGTAACTGAGAAACATACAAACAAACGTGTATTATCAACGAGTAAAACTAATATGCATTATGGAGAGAATGTCACTGATCTTTATGTAGTGAACGAGAACACAGGTGGGGCAAGCGGATTGTATCTAACGAAAATTACAGAGTTACTCAGTATAATCGGAAAACCATATCGTCAACGGTTAATTTGCAAATCTTCAATCCATCATCAATCCATTGTCTGACAGTTCACTATTCATGGGTTTCATACAAATTCCATTGTGTTCCCACTCTTCCTTTCTCTTGATGTTCCCCCATCTTCTGCTGCCACACATTACGTTGACACTCACGTCATATACTACTTATAAGTAGCTCGCACCACATTTATAGTAGTATATCAAGTTATTTTCTTCAATAATAAAGAATTGTCTAACAGAAACATAAATTTTAAATGGCATTAGTATTATATTTTGAAAGAACTTTTTTTCTCCTGTTGACTTCCTTAATGTGGACTTGTTATTTTGGTGAAAATTATACACTGTTGTACGGCGATTATCCTTTTTTTTAAATCAATATTATCGACGTCTGATCCATTTCTGATGACTGTAAGTACTAGGTTGGAAGTAACTTCATATCTGAAGTAACTATTATCTGAAGTTTATGCTGCTGATGATGTTGATCAGCAGAAGAACAATGAAAGCTTCACAACCAAAACAACATCCAGCTCAGAGAACGAAACACCACCCGAACTACACATTTTCTCCATCATCTCAGTAACTTCATTCATTGGACACACAGAAATAGATTACATACTGCTTGAAGGTCACAAACTGAGTCATATGTCAGTCTAGATATTGTAGGTAAACGGATTATTTATCGAGCCAAGGTTACCGCCTACACATTTTGGTTAATCTGTCAACCTATAAAAGTGCATGAACCGGTAAACATTATTAAATCGGATTTCAGTAACAAAATTGCCCTCACTGTTTTGTCAGTTTGCTAATCCAATATGACTTAATCAGCCTTCATTATTATATAAATATATACTTTGTAGTTATGCCTAAGTGATAGGGAAAGATGGCACTTTTAACTGACGTAAAACTAGTCTGTACAAGCTTTTCTTTTTGTTATAGTAGACTGACTTCACATAAGTATCTACTAACAGTCATTCATATAAAAGTTGGTGTTTGACAGTCATACTTAAATCTACCTCACAGAAGAATAACGCATTATCAGATTTATGCATTGTTCATTTGTTCTCGCGGAATTCATTCTTATGAAACATTTCATATTTATACATGTATATGGTTGTACTGCTCGATAATTAATTAGTTGAAAAGAGAAACCTATCGCTGAACTTCCAGTTTTTAACGTATCAATATGGTTTTCAATTAAAGTTATGAAGATTAGTGTTTTTACACATTCAAATCATTCATTAATCAGTCATTGTTAGACCTGCATTAGAAACCTGGAAGCACTGAACGGACGTTTCATCTCGGTATGGGACTCATCAGTAGCAGTGCGCATCCACGACTCCTGCACCTCGCAGGATTCGTACCCGGGACCTTCCGTATTGTACTCGAACACCTAACCATTGGACCACTGTGCCGGCATCCAACGGTGTCAATGTGCTTCCAGGTTTCTAATGGTGTTCTCACAATGATTGATCGATGATTTCATATGTGCAAATCTGATTTCTTTGAATTTTCTCTGAAAGACTATTTTCTTAACAAGTGATTATTAATATTGTTTCCTTCATTACTTTTGAACAAATCTGATGATGACATATTGTCACTGATACTTCTTCCAACTAGTATTTAGATGCTTAAATAAATTAGTATAAGGAGATCAGCCGACGTCAATTTGTTCATTGGACGTAAATGAGAAAATAGGATAAAATTTCAACGTAATTTTGATAAACACTTCTGGTTAAGTTATTTCATGTCTTCGTAATTTATGTTGCATAGAGTTTTCTCTAGCAAGTTAGTTTTGTACGGGATGGGTTCGTTGACCACCCCCTCCATGCCCAACCCTTCTCCTTTATCCTGGGCTTTGGATATACATTTGATTTGAACAGTGTTGAAATGTTGGATAGAGGAAGTGCAAAAATCACTGGAGAATCTGTAGAAGTTTGGAACTCAAGCAAGTTAGCATTCAACAAACACAACGACACTGAGCCAATGTATCAACCAATCAGAAAACTCATAAACGAACATACGATCAAGCAATTGATCGAAGGGTGAGATAATCAAAAGAAAGGTGTAGACAACGACAGGTTTAAGGTGTGAATAACAACCAATCAAGATCAAGGTTAACAGAACAAGCAAAGAGTCAGACATGGAGAAATTCCGAATACTTCATTGGTATCTGAAGTTTGTTCTGATGATGTTGTGTTCAGAAGAAGAACAATGAAAGGCGCATCCGTAAAACATCCAGCTCAGAGAACGAAACTCCATCACAAAATAATCTATCATCTCATGAAATATTTATTTACTAGCTTCGTTTAAGAATGAACGGTTAAAAAGAAAGAAAAAAAGTCTAGTCAAAAGTTATATAATAGGGAAATCTTACCATGTCCAGCTTGTTTACAGTCAACTGTGAAATAAGTTGGTTGACCTCTTGTAACATTTTCTACACCTGGACCAAAAACGCGTACTTTTCCTGGATTACTAGGTTCAGCTACTTCAACCTAATTAAAAAAATAATAATAAGCACGTATATAATTAGTTAACAGATTTGATGTGAAATTATTCTTAACGAATGTTTAGTGATTTAATAAGATGAAATTCGTTCAATGTTTTCATAAACTCACGATAATGTAATCTGAAGTGAATTCGACAAGTAATGTATGTATAATATCGGTTAGCTTAAAGTGGTTAGTGACAAAGTTACAGAATAACTTATCATCAATTCACAAAAATAATTAATCAGTCAGCTACAACGTAGAACTTTGAACGTTCGTACATCACTTCAAATTGCCTGACCATATAGGCAAAGAGAGATCGAATTTTCAATTCAAATCCCATAGGAGTAGATGTTGTAGAAGTATTAGTGATAATCAAGAAGATTAGGGATCGAAGATATAATTCAAAAAGTACTTCACAGTGAAATAAATTTGAAAAGAGAAAAAACGGTCATGAGGAATTCTGAAGATAAGAATTTGAGAGAACACAAACAACCGATGTACCTGCGCCATTCCAGAAGATTCTGAGCCATGTCATTCAAAGTCTCTAACCATCGATTGCTATCATCTCGCAGACCCCCAACCCGGTAGTCTACACCTACTAACACGGCTCAGTTCAGTTGTCAGTGACTGTAGGATTTAATTTGTCCTATAGTTGTACTTCTAGAACTGTAAATGCAATATTGGCAAGCACAGAGTCTGTGGGAATGCTATAGTCAAACACAAGACCAATTTCACTTTAAACTTTATCTGTTTCTAAACATGAAAACAATTAGATTAGTACAATAAATAAGGAAATTACAGTTATCAAGTAAAACGAGTAATCATACCGACCAATGTAGCGTGTCTTATGGAAATGAATACAGTTATGGGTCACATCAATAATAATAAGATAATAATGTCCTTCAATTAGTAGGTGGTGATTTACAACAAAGATAGTTTATGGGCACGTCAGATCAGATCACGTGATGGACGCTTAAACCACAATTTGATTGGTTAGTTATAGCATAACTAAAATTAGTTACGGAAATAACTAACAGTGACTTTATGGATATGTGCCATGTTTTGGTTTGACCGCGCCAAGATTTCATCCAAACTACACCTACACCACGAAGGAAGGAAGTCGATGGTTGGGCACACGTAGCATATATCCCAAATGATGAAGATTCAATACTTCATCAATGGATCTGCCATCCTTACCAAGTAACCGCTTCCTAACAACAGCACTGCTTACCCATAGGTCCCAGGATGTACGAGTAATGCTTCGAAGACATCTATGATTAAATACTAGTAACCTATGAATATCCTCTACTTATAATGGGCGTGTTTCATATACGTATAGTAGGATGTAGTGAACTGCTAACAAGAAAACTCGTCCTTGGATTAGTAGTAGACGGATATCTCACAAACATAATTAAAAACTAAATTAATTTGGTTGAAAAAGGATTCAAAATCAAAATTTATTTTTCTAATAATACCTCTAAATTCTGAAGTATTAGCTTTCAAAAGCAGAGAACAATTTAGTTCATATATATATATATAGATATATATTAAAAATAAAACTTACTCTGAAAGGACTTCTCGGGATATTGACTGCCCCATACGAAACAAGAACTGTATGTTTTTTAGGAACTTTCGGTGTATAACTACACGTGTAAGTACCATCACCATTATCACGAACTTTCAGCGCTACTGGTTCACCTTCATTGTCTCTACATTCCACCGTGAGTGGTGCTGGACCACCAGCATCTCTAATATCCACTGTAAATTCAGTTGGTTGACCAGCAACATTTCCAGTTGGCATTATACCTGGTCCATGTGCTTTAACCTGTGAGAACAATCAAATGAAAACAGTTGATTGTATAATCCGATAACTAACTAAGGTAATGCTCACTCAAAGTAGCATGCAGTCGTCATTAGATGACTTACTCTTTCTGGATCACATTTACCCATATCTGGTTCAATCGGGACCATAAACGGTGATTTCGGTATATTTTCATCATTGCATAAAATATGAACTGCATACTCGCCAGGTGCTGTTGGCCAATAAGCTACTGTAGCTGATCCATCTCCATTATCGGTACAATCGATTCTTGCTTCACTTGGACCTTCAATGGAAAAGCCTGGGAAAGGAAGCCAGCAAGAAAAAAAATGTTGTAAATTCATTTCACTAGAATTATGTCATCAACTTAGGAGTACACAACATACACAAATGGAAAAGTAAGATACTCCGATTCAACACCAAAATGTACCAATCAAATCACACTTGGTAGAGATGCTTTGGAGGATGTAAAAAACCTTTACATATCTGGGCAGCATCATCAACAATCAAGGTGGATCTGATGTAGATGTGAAGACATGGATTGGCAAAAAAAGGGCAGCATTTTTACAATTGAACAACATCTGGAACTCAAAACAACTATGAACAAACACTAAAATCAGAATTTTCAATACAAATGTCAAGACAGTTCTACTCTACGGGGCGGAAACTTGGAAAACTATGAAAGCCATCATCCAGAAGATACAATTGTTCACCAACAGTCATTTACGCTAAATACTTTGTGGATTCTCTAGTCAGACATTATTTGTGACGACCTACTGTTCGAGATAACAAACCAGATCCCACCAGAGGAAGAAATTCGAAAAAAAGTGCTGAGGGTGAACAGGACACACATTGAAGAAAGCATCCAACTGCATCACAAGGTAACCCCTCACTCGAAATCCAAAAGGCCAAAAGAAAAGTGGAAAACCAAACAACACATTACGCCGAGAAATGGAGACAGACATGAAATCAATGAACAGCGATTGGATAGGACTGGAAAGGAAGACCCAGGACAGAGTAGGCAAGAGACTGCTGGTCGGTAGCCTATACTGCATTGGGGGTAACAAGCGTAAGTATGTAGGCAATGTATTCATACTACTGTGGAGTATGATGTGTGCAAAATTTCAGAAAATAACAGATGTCTCCTAATCGGTTAATCGCTACATCTTTTTGGCGGGTAGAATTGAAAAAGTAGTACATGCTGATTTTAAACTTTTAAAGTACTTCAGCAGAAAAATCCTTTCAGAAAAGTTTATTTGTGAAGATATGTCAGAGGAATTTCAAATAAATTTTCATTTTTCCTATTGTGTTCTTGTTCAAAACTACATTGATTTTTAAACTAGATTTATTATTATTGTCCAAAAACTATACTACTCAACATTGTAATTTACATTTCAATGTTACATTTTTAAAATTACTCAAAATTGTACAATTCCATATCAATTTTCAACATTTTCGCATCATTCAAAAATTGATGTTTCTTGTAACTACTACTACTACTACTACACATAACACACAATGTAATTTCCGGTAGAAGACAATTCTACAGATGATGAATTGACAGTTTAACATGAAACAGTAAACAGTAATAAAACTTTTAGTGATGGACAAAATTTCTGTTCGTGTGTGTGTGTGTGTGTGAGTAAATAAAATGCCAATTGGGGCAAATACTACAATTGATAAAAGTTTTGTGAATTTCCATTGACTTAATTTGATTATCAATCAGGAAACATGTGTACTACTTGATCTACCTACGTATAATTTCTAGTAGAAATAATGATATACTCGACCAATGGGTAGTCTAGCAGTTGCAATGAGATATGATTATTTATTAAAAATTTTCCAAATATGTTCACTTGTGATAGACAGTGAAGATATTTTTTTAAAAAACGTTTCATTTCGAAGCTGTTTGTGTATTATATATATATATATATATATATATCACAAATAATATCCATTCAAAAATGTTCAATTCACTTCAACTATTTCAAAGAATGATTATTAAAATCTACCTACAATTTATGCTTCATCTGAAAAAAATCAACTGAATTAGTTGAATGATAATTTTTTAGTCAACCTGTATATATATATATATATATATATATATATATATATATATATATATATATATATATAAGGTTCTATCTTTGTGTAGTTTCTATTAGCCCATAATTTGATATCATAATTTTATTGGGTGTAAATGATATCTAACTACGCATGATTATGCGAGATACCTTAGATCTGTTGACCAGATACCATGAGCAACAACCTATGGTGGGAGAGAACAAACCAGATTCCAACAGAGGAAGAAATCAGGAATAAGCAGTAGAGGTGTACAGCACACACATTGGGGAAAGCACCTAAACGAGTCACATGACAAGTCCTCACTTGGAAACCACAAGGTCACAGGAAAAGAGGTAGACCGAAAAACATAATACGCCGAGAAATGGATGCAGATATGAGAATTATGAATAACAGTTGGACAGAACTGGAAAAGAAGACCCAGAACAGAGTAGATTGAAGAATACTGGTCGGTGGCCTATGCTCCGTTAGGGGTCACAGGTGTAAGTATGTAAAGCAAGTAGCGCTGTGCCTCATCCGGTTTCCCATGAATAATTCATAACTTCCGATTTGTTCATTTGTAAAATTGTACAAATCAATATACTGAATGCATAAACTTGTAGCTATAATTTTTTCATCATAATATTGTGGAGACTGTTGTCTTACATTGAAATCACCACAATTATATACCTGAAAACACAGGATGACCGTTTCGTCCCGGTATGAGATTCATCGGCAGTCCGCATCCATGCATTGCTAGCTGCCGGCTCAGTGGTCCGGAGGACAAGCGTTCGCGTGGGAGGCCGGAGGTGCTGAATTCGAATCATGTGTGTGGCAGGAGTCGTAAGTGCGTCACATAGCAGAACAAAACTGTTGTCTGGTGCTTTCGTGTTTTTAATGGTGGTGGATGGATGTATGATTTCAGTGTAAAACAACAATCTCCGCTACAAACTGTACTCTTACACTTCTGACTGATATTTTACATTGATATTTACAATATTCAGACAACTTTTACTTATTCATTCAGTGTCGATTTACATCAACTTATTTGGTCACACACATTCCAACTGAGGAAAAATTCAGGAGAAGGTCGATAGGACCCGAAATGCGGAAAGCACTGAACTGAGTCACAAGACAAGCCCTAAGATGAAATCTTGAAGGCAAAATGTAAAGTGGAACACTAAAGAACACATCAAGCCGAGAGTTGAAAGTAGACATGAAAAGAATGAACAGTAATTGGATAGAATTGGAAAAGAAAGCCTACGATAGAGTAGATTGAAGAAAGCTGGTCGAGGGCCTATTATTCATTAGTGGTAACAAGCGTAAGTAGGTATGTAATTGGCGACATAATAATTGCTCATTACTACAATTGGATGGTTCCTAGAAGGACTATGACTAGAAATAATTTTTAGTAAATAAAATATACACATAGAGAATGTTCACATTATGGAAATTAGTCAATATGATTGATGGTTGCATTTTACAAAATAATACCGATTGACAAATACACTCGTAAACTATTACATTCATTTAAATAGCAAAGTCGGTCTAATGTCCACAAGTTGTTACTTATTTTAGTGATATCTACTTACGACACTTACACTCAAGAACAAGCGAGTTACTTCTATATTTTTGCATGAATTTTAGAAGACAAGCTGTCCTTCATCTAGTAAACACCATAAAATATATACCCTAACTGATCAATGAGTAGCGACCAGTGTCATGTTTTTAAAGACTATGCTGCTAATCGGAGTGCTTGTATATGACTGGATGGAAATGAACGAACTGCAGGGAATTCAAAGTCTTCTGAAATCAATGTCGTTACTGCTTTATTTGTGAAAGGATTTTTTAGTCGGATTCAATCACTGAAATTCAAATGCAATCATTAGTTGACGTGAATAGATATTAGATGGATTGTTTAAATGTTAGCTGGTTAGACAACATACTGAGGAATCCTTTTTCCCTGATATCCTGCTAGTTGGTAATAATCAACATCATATCTCTACCATCTAGACGAAATTGATGTTCATAAACGGTTCACTGTCTTATGAAATAGCCAGTGTAATAAAGTGTGAAAACAGAATTACTTGAAGCGTCAATTCCTCGAAACGGATAGTACACTCACAATGCTAGTCTGAAAAATATCCAGTTCTCTTTCTTCTATCATGCATAAATTGCTAAAGAGGCAAGTATTGGCGAACTTTTACAGTTTACATTACAAACTGACTGTGCTGAAAGTAAAAACAACTAGGAAGTACTGACAACTACTACTTAGCATTGAGAATAACTGATCTCATCAGGGTTCGAACTGATGACTTCTGATTTTTCATTCATGTCTCTAGACCACTGAGCTAGTATTCTAGGGTGGATATATCTAACTTCTTAAGTTTCGAAACTTGCCTAGCAAAAACCAGTCCGTAATGTAAGTCAATTCATTGTCATTCTGCACATGATCAGGAACTACTTTAAGTAGATAACAATATCGATTTCTTTACTAAACCATTCAGAACTTATTATCACCAATAGTCCACATATCAATTGATAAGACGTGACCAATGGAGGTCAACCCTGTTGGGTGTAGGCAGCGGCGACGTTTATTTTGGAAATATGGATCCTGCCAAACTTGAATTATTACTTGAGCAGCAGCTGAAACTGATGCAGATGTTGACAGACATGAAGATTTCCCCTTCCACACAGCCCAGCTCATCTAATGCAACCACAGCTCCATCGGTCGACGGCATCGCATATAACATAGCTGAATTTCATTATGATCCTGATGCAAATGTCACTTTTGACATGTGGTTACGGCGTTATGAAGATTTATTTGAATTTGATTTTGCCAACCAAGATGATGCTTGGAAGGTTCGGCAGCTACTTCGAAAGTTGGGCGCAAGTGAGCTGGATACGTACTGTGATGGCTGGGTGTTTGTAGAATATACTTTCTACGCTTACAAAGCCTTTTCACTTCAGCCTCGGATTCAAGGTAGCCTCCCTGGAAGCTGGTAAAAGTCTCGTTCGCGTTTATCGACTAAGGTAAACTCGTAATAGCCTCAAGCATACTAAGTGACGAACTTATCAGTGTCGGCCCAGTGGTTCGATGGTCAGGTGTTCGCGCACAAGACCGAAGGTCCTGGGTTCCAATTCTGCGAGTAGCTAGAGTCTTGGATGTGCAATGCTGATGAGTCCCACACTGGAACGAAACGGCCATCCAGTGCTTTCAGGTTTCGAATGGTGGTCTAACAATGATTCATTCATGGTTTCGAATGAATAAAACACTAATCTCCATAACTCTTCCCGAAAATATCGATTGCAATAATTTAGCTATCACTTATTGATTATTTGTTTAGGTTTCTCAATCATGAGTTGCAGAGTAGTAAAGGGATCACAGACATTCATTTCACACGTACGTTATTATTATTATTATTCACAAGAGAAATAAGGAATCGATAAGAAATAAATTTATAACTTACCCAGAGCACCAGTTTCACCGTTTGTTTCCACAACAAAAACAGCTGGTTTATTGACTACACCACCGACAAGACCTGGACCAAATGTTCTGATACGTGATTCTTTGTAAGGAGCAACTTCCACCTATTATTTTCATTGTAAAATTAAATAATAATACTGTCGATGAGAAGTCTTATGCATACATATCTAGTTTAGTACAAATACATAGATGTTAGCCTGAGTTACCATACTACATTCACACAACAAGTTGTGCTTAACAGAATGAATGCCTGAAGTTCAAATGATGTTGAAAAATGGATGATATCTCAAGGTCAATTGATCAGCCCATGCTCGAAAATATAAAATTCGAAATTAGGACCCTTATCAAGTGAGTTCTGGGGGTCTAACGTTCGCAACAACTATAAATCTGTTTATTTAGACAACTGATTAACGCTATAGTTATTTTCTCGTTTTTGTGCTTAGTTAAAAAGTCTCCTAACAAACGTCTTAACATGCCCTGAAGTACTAAATATGTCACCCATTTTTCTTGAAGTTGATCTGATATTACTTGAGTAATGTGTCTTACGAGGTCATCTGTGAGTCGAAGCATTTTTATGCAAGAATAATATGCGTTTTTGAAGCCTTTTGGATGAAACTAAATTATGATTGATCAATTTAAAAAGATTTTCTTTTAACTAAATTAACGATAATGACTACAATGTGTACATGTTATTGACATTTAAGTGAAATTCTGTCAATTAAGTGATATTCCAATCTGATTATTACAGTATCAAGAAAACACGGTTTAATCGTTTCTCTGTAGGTACACAAATAAATTACAGATACATGATGAACAAATCATGAATCGATCATTGTTAGACCACCGTTTTGTCCTATTATGGGACTTGTCAGCTGCGCGCGGCCACACCCTTCGCTCGAGGGAATCGAACTCAGGACATTTGGTCGTGGGGTTTAACCCTGTCAATTGTGAGTCGTTTGCCTACAGAAGACAACGAGTGAGTTTGCTCAGTACCTTCTATTGATTGAAGTTAGACATTAACACTGCTGGATGCCTGCACAGTATTCTAGAGGTTAAGCATTCACACACTAGACTGAAGGTCTTGCGTTCGATTCCGGCGAGGATGGTTCGCGGATGTGCGCCACTGAACAGTCCCACCTTATGAGGAAAAGGCCGTCCATGGCATCTAGGTTTCTGTTGGTTGTTTAACGATGACTGATTCATGATTTCATGATTCTCCGTAACTGAACATACAAAAATCAAGTGTCTTTTAACAATTATGCATAATATACTGAACACAATGTGTGTACACATTGATTTAAATCATAATATTCAATGTAAAGTATGTTTCCAAAAAATTACTTACTGTGAATGGACTAAGCATAATATGATCTCCACCATATCGAACATTCACTTGATGTGTACCTGGTCTTTGTGGTGTATAACTACAATCAAATAGATAAGCACCAGTTTTTCGACTTGTACATGGAATTCCTCTACCATCTATACATATCAATGAAACAAATTAAGCACATTAATTAAAATTATTTATTTATTATTCATTCAATTATAATTTTTTTTGTTATTGAAATTATTAGTTAGCCTTAATTAGTACTCCATTAAATTATACCTTTTAAGTAAAAATATTTGTTACCGTAGGTTACTCAGTGGTCTAACGGTTAGGGCGTTTGCGCACAATACCGAAGGTCCTGGGTTCGAATCCTGCGGGGTGCAGGAGTCGTGGGTGCGCACTGCCACTGATGAGTCCCATACCAGGATGAAACGGCCGTCCAGTGCTTCCATGTTTCTAATGGTGATCTAACATTGATCAATGCATGGTTACAAATGAAACTTAACAATATTCACAACAACCCCGCAATACATATTAGGTCAGTCAATTACGTACGTACGTAAGTACATAAGTTTGGGTTGCCATACCACATTAGAACAGAGACACAATTTTTAGTTCAAATCCCATAGTGGTAGAGATAGTAGAAGTAAGTATTAGCAGTAATGGAGAAGATTAGGGTTGGAATAAATTATTCAAGAAGTAGAATTCAGTGAAATCAATTTAGAAAAGGAATAATAGAGATGATGAGGAATTCAGAAGATTAGAATTGCAGAGAACACAAAAAGTGGATGCACCTGTGTCATTGCAAACGATTCTGAGCCATTCTGTTCAAGGTCTCTAACCATTGGTTAGTATCGCCTCGTCTGACATTAAGTTTAAATATGAAGAATAACCCGGAAATCAATAATTTTATAAACTGACCAAGAGAACAGTTATTTCAGGTTAATTTTTTTTTCAGGGTGCTATGTTCTGTTAGTTTAATTGTTAGCCTTTCATTATCGTTCTGATGCATTAAGTTCAGAAAATCAAATGTTATCAGAAGAAGAATATCATAGTTCGAAATAGCAGAATGTATGTATCGTTGAACAATTCAAGGCGATTCTTTTTAAATAACTTCAGAAGAATTTCTAACATAGGTCAGTCATCAATGTAACATTATTTTTATTCCGTATAGTTGATATGTTACTGTTCTATGCCTACCGAGTAAAACTTACACAGACAGTTAACAGTTCAAGTTACTACACCACACAGAGCGTGATGAAACTATTAGAATGAATGCTAGCTAGAGTAGCAATAATAGTGAAATTATCAGTGATAGTAGAAAAAATTAGCTACAGACAATATGAATCATGAAGAAAGAGTAAATCCGTAGGAAATAAAGTATAGGAAACTTCTAAGTCGCAAAATCTAGGAACATTAAGTGAGCGAGTCTATGAATTTACAATCAATTCTGAGCAATATTGACTAATATAATTCAAAATCATGGTGTTTTGCAGTTAGCGTGTTCTGAGTTAAATAGCTAAATAGATAATCATGAATAAATTCATAGCAGTTATACATCAAGATACATACAAACATGAACCTTTCATGGGTGGAAGTTGTTGTTTCAGGATTGGATTGCACCTGAACTAGTGATAGGGAGTGATGTAGTTGAGTGTGTCAGCCGCTTCAGTTATCTCGGGAGTCATCAGTGCTGATAGCCTGGTGTGTGGTGAAATCTCAGAACGGACACAAAAGGCTCGACTTGTTTTTGCCCAATGGCGTCAATTATGGCGTAGGCGAGATATCCGTCTGCTAACAAAAGGAAGAGTCTACTGCGGAGCAGTTCGCTCCATCCTACTATACTGGTACGAAACATGACCACTAAGAGTAGAGGATAATCATAGGTTACTGGTATTCGACAAAGGTGTCTTCAATGCACTGCTCGTATATCCTGAGACGATCGAGTAAGCAATGTTGTTGTTAGGAAATGAGTACTAGGTAAGGACGGCAGATCTATTGATGAAGTGATGAATCCTCATCAGTTGAGGTGGTTGGGACATGTATTATACATGCCCAACCACCATCTGTCTCGACGGAAGAAAGCTAAGGGCATCCTAACCTAAACATGGCACAAATCCATGTGGGCACTGACAAGTGGATTGATCCATGTTAGTAGGTATAGACGATAGTAACCGATGGTTAGAGACCTAAAACGACATGGCTCAAGATCGTTTGGAACGGCGCTTTGTGTTCTCTCAAATTGTAATCTTCTTAATTCCTCATGGCAGTTGTAGACAAATGAAAAACTAAATCATTCACAAATTAATCAGTAAAATCAACACTATTCTGTTAAAATCCCTAAGTAAAATTTCTTATTCCCATTTGTTTTTTAAAAAAAATAACCAAATGAAAGTTGAAATATATAATTTCTACAGATCATATCATACAAGACCAATAACTACAATATCCGGCTCTATAGTGTGTTTTTCAATGATGTCATCATCAAGTTATCTTCATATACTTAGCAGAGAGTGAAGAAAGACTATATCCATAGATCAGCCTTTTTATCATCTATAACTTTCCCGCAGCAGGAAAAAATGATTGTTAGCCATAAAAGTAGAAATATGAGATTGGTATATGTAACAGTAGAATAAACTGTTATCTAGTTTGATTTTTCGATAATACATCATACAAGTGTAGACATTCTAACCATTTTTTTTAAAAAGTAAATTTTTATATCTGATTTGTAAATGGGATGTTTACAATTATATTATCCAGATAAGTAAGTTCACTGATAAAAACAAACCGTTGGCCTTTATTAGACTCAATCAGTCAGTCAGTCAGATGCAACGTAGAACTTCGTACGTAAGTACATCAATCAGTTCATGTCGCCATACCACATCAAAACAGAGATGTAATTGTGCATTCAAATCCAATAGTAGAAGAGGTAGTAAAGGTATTAGGAGTAATCGGAGAGGTTAGGATTAGAAGATATTATTCAAGAAGTATGATTTAATGAGATAAGTTTAGAAAGTCAAAACTAGGAGGGGTTGAAGAATGCAGAAGATTAGGATTTGAGAGAACACAACGAATAAATGCACCGGCTCCATTGCGAACGATTTTGAGCAATGTCATTCAAGGTCTCTAACCATCGATTATTATCATCTCGCGGACCCCAAGATGGTGTAGTCGACAATTACCCACATGGCTAAGTCCATTCGTCAATGACTTCATGGATTTGTGCCATGTTTTGGTTTGGCCGCCCGTAACTTTCTTCCAACCGATTCCTACACTACAAAACAAAGCTCGTTGAGGCAGTTGGTGGTTGGGCATACGCAACACATGTCGCAACCACCTCAACTGATGAAGTATCACTACTGCGTCTATTGATCTGACATCCTTACCTTGCACCTGTTTCTTAATAACAGCGTTGCTCACTCGGTTGTCCCAGGATATACGAGCAATGCTTCGAAGACATCTATGATCGAAAACCAGTAACCTACGAATATCTTCTTCTCTCACTGACTATGTTTCAGAGCCATATAGGAGAACGGAGCGAACTACTGCACAGTACACTCGTCCTTTGATTAGAGAACGGATATCACGCCTACGCCATAAGTGACGCAGGTTGGCAAAAGCCAATCGAACCTTCTGTATCCGAGCTGAGATTTCGTCAGTCACTAGGCCATCGGCACTGATGAGACTCCCAAGATAAGTGAAGCAGTCTACATGCTCGACTACTTCACTCTCTATCACTAGTTCAGGTGCCGATGCAACCCAATCTTGAAGCAACATTTTGCATTTCGAGGGTGAGAACCGCATCTCGAACATGTTTGCATTGTTGCTTAGGGTGGTTAGAAGACTCTGCATTTTGTCAGCGTCTTCATCAAGTAGAGGACAATGGTCATCGGCATATTCTAAGTCAATAAGCGATTATTAGACTAAATAAACATCATTAATCTATGCATACTCATATTACTATCAATCTTAGAAAAAAAAACAAAACATGTTCTTATTTTATTTTAGACTATTTCACAATTGAATGAAAGAAAATCTATCATCAAATTAAACAAAAATCTTACATAACAAACACAAATTATTAAACCTAATTATTTTCTTCTTCCCGCAAATAAATTAAATGTATCGTTGGTTTTTTAAACGTAAACATGACTTATCACCACGTATCATTTATCCAACTACATTAATTCATTTAAACAAATTTGAATTGGACAAACATTCTTCATTCAATAATAATCATAATCATAAATATGCATCGAATTATATTAAAACAACCAAATATACATTATGGACATTTTTACCATTAAATTTATGGGAACAATTTCATCGTTTTGCTAATGTGTATTTTGTATTTATCCTTATATTAAATTTTATACCGGAAATTGGTGCTTTTGCGAAAGAAGTTGCACCAATCCCTGTTTTAATTACATTAGCTGTTGTAGCTATAAAAGATGCTTATGAAGATTTTCGACGACATTTATTAGATCGTAAAGTGAATAAAAAACCTTGTGAAGTTTATTCGGTGTAAGTTTTATTCTTTATTTTTTTATTTTTTATTTTTTGATTGTGTAAATTTAATATAATATTTTGTTATTTTCAATTGAAGTTATATGAAGGAGATTAGTGTGTTTGTTTCATCAGATTGAAATCATCAATCAATCAGTCATTGTTAGATTACCGTTAATTAGCAACCTGGAAGCACTGAAAGACGGCCGTTTCGTCCTGGTATGGGACTCATCAGCAGTGCGCATCCATGACCCGACCGAGCTATACTGGCTGGAACATATGTTCCCGAAGGTTCTACCGTGCTAGGCAGGTCGATTGGAGAATGATCAGACTAAAAGCAGCTACTCAAGGTCTGAGGGCGAAGTCGTACTGCTGACTGCAGAGGGGTGGGACAGCAGTAAGGTGTTTCCCTCGGACAACCAGCATCTTCAGCGATGCTGCCTTCTCACAAGGAAGGAAGGGTTAGAAAAGGTCAACCCTAAAAATGTCACACCTCACCCTACCTTACTGATTTCCGTCTCCTTGAGTAAGGGTGCACACTAAGGGACTTTAAGAGCGGAGCTAATCCTCAAAAAACCTTTAATAAAAGGCCGCGCGTGACCGGCCTCAAGCAGTTGTCCCTTGGGCTCTACGGTCACGCACCCAGGT